AAGCGAGCGGTGATTAATAAACCTTGGTTGTTAAATTACGTTTAGAAAATACCAATTAAACCTTGTGTCTTATGACCGCTGTCCGCACACACACTTAAACGTCAATGGATAGCTATCTAATAGAAAAACAGAAATATGCAATCCGACAATGAACTAAACTAAGACTGTTATAAGAATGTACTAAGATACTGTGGATCTCTCAGACTCCGTCACAGAGCCATGAGTGTTGAGGCTGGCCAGACGCTGTACACTTACGGCACCGCCATATATTATGAGTGACGGGAGATTTGGTGTGGTCACCACACGCCCCTCACTGATGGTCCTAGATAACACTAACTCTAAGAAAATTATATCATACAGTTTTATACTGTACCATGTGTGTGTGTGTGTGTGTGTATTAATAATAATAATAATAATAATAATAATAATAATAATAATAATAAACGGTTTATTAATAGAGTTGCAGCCGGTGGCTGAAAATATACAGACTTACATTTGATTTAGACATAATGATATAATATGCATTGAATACATTTACAGGGCTGTACAGTACAAAAATCAGGAGTTGTTTATTATTTTAACAATAGATGGGATGGTGCTGTTCTTATATCTATCGGTGCGGGCTCTTATGGGCTGAATTTTGTTGTAGTGGCGGACTGAGCGAGTTGGGTGGGGGGCAGGAGGTGGCGATGACGAGGATGGTGCAGTAGTCCACTGCCAAACCTTTCCAGTGCTTGGTGTGTGTGTGTGTGTGTGTAATACTAAATACGGATAAAACTTAAATGTAATTACTTTTTGGAAACTTCTGACTGGCGATAGACGATCATGAAGATCATCATAATACAGTACATATAAATGAAAATTTCATAGAATACCTGACCTGACCTAATTTTCTTTAGGTATTATGTGGCTCTCTTACGATGGCGAACGACGCCTTAAATGATTAAGATTTTTTTTGACCATATACGAATTAAGTTGTAGCAATAAATACAAAAAGTTATCACTATATGGAAAAACGTCAGTTGCTTTTTAGAATTTAATCGGCATTTATCTCTCTCAACACACACACACACACACACACACACACACACCAGAGCAGACGGAGGACGTTCCCTCGACCTCCGTAACACAGTTCACCTGAGGGAACATTGTACAGTTGGTCCTGATACAGGTGGACAATGACCACTGAGTAGGTACACACTCCAGCGAGCGACAACTACAGGCTGAGATGGAATAAGATATTTAACCTTTAAGATATTGTATGTGAGGGACAGTGTTAGCATTCACCCAGGGAGACTACCAGCAGACACCATGGGAAGATGTCTTAAATGGTGAGTCTAACATTGACAACCACGGCGAGGCTCACATCCTCACCCGACGATCTTCAGTTGTCGTGTCCAGCGGCCGTCTACTGAATGGGGAGCCCCTAGTCGAATTCGCTGTAGAATAGGTTCCCAATTTTACAACTTGGGAAGTGAAAGGCGGTGGCGTGTAATGGCGGCCTAACTGTCTCCTTGTGTATCATCACTCCTCTTACCGGGCTGTCAGACTAAGTGACCCTGTACTGACAGTGAGGAATCATGCCAGGAATCTATGATGGATGTGGATGTTGCGGTGAAATAATGTGGACCCGAAGACAAGGAAGACAGTAAGACAGTCCAGGTGGATGAGTCCTTACAGGGTGGTGGCCACGAGGTCACTACTAGAGGTGGTGGCCACGAGGTCACTACTAGAGGTGGTGGCCACGAGGTTATTACTTAGAGGTGGTGGTGAGGTCACTATTAGAGGTGGTGGCCACGAAATCACTACTAGACTACTAGAGGTGGTGGCCACGAGGTCACTACTAGAGGTGGTGGCCACTATCACGAGGTCACTACTAGGAGGTGGTGGCCACGAGGTCACTACTAGAGGTGGTGGCCACGAGGTCACACTAGAGGTGGTGGCCACGAGGTCACTACTAGAGGTGGTGGCCATGAGGTCACTACTAGAGGTGGTGGCCACGAGGTTATTACTGGAGGTGTGTGGGTGAGGGTACTGGGTATAAGGGTATAGGCCAGCGTAGTAATCATCATCAGTGGGGGGGAGGGTAATGTTTTTTTTTTTTTTGCGGCGAACAGCAACTAGTTTATTGTGCACACTATTCTCACCCCGTGAGCGGTAGCACATAAAGGATTACAAAGTAGCGGCCACAAAGGGTGTCTTATCAGACCCCAGTGGTCAGGATATTATGGCACTGAGTGTTAAAGAATATTTTCAGTACATTGTTTGTTTAGTTCGGTAAATAGAAATCTGCTTAGGTACTAGAGGCGAAGTGTGGATACAGCCTTAGTATATCAGCTATGTGGGTGGTGGGAAGGATGATCACAGTGGAATGTGATTGATGAGAGGGTGTTGAGGAGCTCAGGGCGACGAATGAGGGTCACACACACACACACACACACACACACACACACACACACACACACACACACACAGCTGAAGAAGATAAGCCGAAAGACAGCCAAGTGACGAAATAGCGTGAAAGATATATATTAATAATGAAAAAAAATTAGCTTATAGATCAATAAAAACAGAGCGAGACCACACACGTACACAGGTGGACACAGAAACACGAAGAAATGAAAGAGACAGAAACTTAATGTGACAAAGAACCGAGATTATGAGACCAATAAAACAGTAAATTGGAGGAGGAAGATATAGAGCTGGAGGAGGAAGATATAGAGCTGGAGGAGGAAGATATAGAGCTGGAGGAGGAAGATATAGAGCTGGAGGAGGAAGATATAGAGCTGGAGGAGGAAGATATAGAGCTGGAGGAGGAAGGAAGATATAGAGCTGAGGAGGAAGATATAGAGCTGGAGGAGGAAGATATAGAGCTGGGAGGAGGAAGATATAGAGCTGGGAGGAGGAAGATATAGAGCTGGAGGAGGAAGATATGGTGAGGAAGATATAGAGCTGAGGAGGAAGATATGGAGGAGGAAGATATAGAAGAGAAGATATAGAGCTGGAGGAGGAAGATATAGAGCTAGAGTTGGAGGAGAAGATATAGAGCTGAGGAGGAAGATATAGGGCTGGAGGAGGAAGATATAGAGCTGGAGGAGGAAGATATAGAGCTGGGAGGAAATAGGCTGGAGGAGGAAGATAGAGCTGGGAGGAGGAAGATAGGAGGAAGCTGAGGAGAGCTGAGGAGGAACATATAGAGCTGGAGGAGGAAGATGGGCTGGAGGAGGATATAGAGCTGGGAGGAGGAAGATATAGAGTTGAGGAGGAAGATAAGGGCTGAAGGAGGAAGATATAGAGCTGGAGGAGGAAGAAGATATAGAGTTGGAGGAGGAAGATATAGAGTTGAGGAGGAAGATATAGAGCTGAGGAGGAAGATAAGAGTTAGATAGAGCTGGAGGAGGAAGACATAGAGCTAGAGCTGAGAGGAAGATATAGGGAGGAGGAAGAAGATAAGGGCTGAGGAGGAAGATATAGAGCGAGGAGGAAGATATAAAGGTGGGAGGAGGAAGATATAGAGGTGGAGAAGGAGGAAGATATAGAGCTGAGGAGGAGGAGAGATATAGGGCTGAGAGGAAGATATAGAGCTGGAGGAGGAAGATAGGAGAGGCTGGGAGGAGGAAGATATAGAGTTGGAGGAGGAACAGATATAGAGTTGGAGGAGGAAGAAGAGGAGGAAGACAGAGCTGGAGGAGGAGGAAGATATAGAGCTGGAGGAGGAAGATATAGAGCTGGAGGAGGAAGGAACTGGAGGAGGAAGATATGAGGCTGGAGGAGGGAAGAGTATAGAGCTGGAGGAGGAAGATATAGAGCTGGAGGAGGGAAGATAGGGCTGGAGGAGGAAGATACAGAGCTGGAGGAGGAAGATATAGATTCGAGGAGGAAGATATGGCTGGAAGAGGAAGATATAGAGGCTGGAGGAGGAAGATAGAGCTGGAGGAGGAAGAGGAGAGGAGGAAGATATGGGCTGGAGGAGGAAGGATAGAGCTGAGGAGGAAGAGAGCTGGAGGAGGAAGATATAGAGCTGGAGGAGGAAGATAGGAGCTGGGAGGAGGAAGATATGGGCTGGAGGAGGAAGATAGCAGGAGCTGAGGAGGAAGACATATAGAGCTGGAGGAGGAGAAGAGGCTGGAGGAGGAAGATATAGAGCTGAGGAGGAAGATAAGAGCTGGAGGAGGAAGATAGGCTGGGAGGAGTGAGAGGAGCTGGAGGAGGAAAGAGTAGAGCTGGAGGAGGAAGATATAGAGCTGGAGGAGGAAGAGCTGGAGGAGGAAGATAGGCTGGAGGAGGAAGACAGAGCTGGAGGAGGAAGATATAGGCTGGAGGAGGAAGAGATAGAGTGGGCTGGGAGGAGGAAGATAGAGCTGGAGGAGGAAGATATAGATCTGGAGGAGGAAGATATGGGTTGAAGAGGAAGATATAGAGCTGGAGGAGGAAGAAGAGGATAGAGCTGGAGCTGGAGGAGGAAGATATGGGCTGGAGGAGAAGATATAGAGCTGGGAGGAGGAAGATAGAGCTGGGAGGAGGAAGATATAGAGCTGAGGAGGAAGAGGAGCTGAGGAGGAGAGGAGGAGCTGGGAGGAGGAAGATAGAGCTAGAGGCTGGAGAGCGGGAGGAGGGCTGGAGGAGGAAGATATAGAGCTGGAGGAGGAACATATAGAGCTGGAGGAGGAAGATATGGGCTGGAGGAGGAAGATATAGAGCTGGAGGAGGAAGATATGGGCTGGAGGAGGAAGATATAGAGCTGGAGGAGGAAGATATAGAGCTGGAAGAGGAAGATATGGGCTGGAGGAGGAAGAAATAGAGGAATAAGATGGTAAAGCAGAGATAGAAGCAGCCTCGGCCAGCTAAATATAACGAGAGGGAACAAGGGAGGTATAGGGAGGGAGGAAGGGAGGGAGGGAGGGTAGCATGTTAGGGTGTTCAATTGAGAGGAACAAATAGTGTGGGTAAGTCGAGAGCCCGCGGAGAGTAGGAGGAGGAGGTGGTGGAGGAGCAGTACCGCCACTACCACCATCAACACCACCACCTCCTCGTCCTCCTCCTCCCTGCCCAGGCACCTCCCACAGCCCCCAGTGCCAGCCAGCCCAACACAGTGCCACATGCCAGTTGCTCCCCTTGGTTGACGCCGTGCAGCTGATGATGAAGACCGGGTCCTCGCTTCCCCTCTACCAACATTCCCAGGACTCCTTACACCACTACCACCACCACAATCACCACCACCATCACATCAAGCTTCACCGCCAGCAGCATCTCCTTCACTACCACCAACAACAACAACAACAACAACAACAACGGATCATGGTCAACATCATCCCGGTAACAGTGAACTCCAGAAACTTGAGGTAGCAGGGGTGGTGCAGGAAGGTGTTCAGTTGCAGACGTGGAGTGCACACACACACACACATGCTGTGTTGCTGCCGTTGCCCCCTACCGTAACTATAACTCACGTTTATACATGTGGAGTGTTATGTTAAAAACTGTCGACAAAACGGAATAAGAGAACACTGATGAACAATGAGAGATGGTAATAAGAGAGTTAGTGAAATAAATGCGATGACGGGATTGTTCTTGAGTGCACAATGAACGATGTTAATGTGTTGATGAGTGCCTTGATGAGTGACTCAGTCTTAGTGACGATAATACCGTGTCTCAACTAAGAGTGACTGTGTCTCGTAAGAGTGGCGGTCTTCTTCAGCAGCGTGACACAGTCCTTGGCCGTGAGTGTGTGAGGGCAGTGGGGCGTCGCAGGCCACAGGGGGAAGGTCATCGTGGGCGGCCCTCTGCTGTACCGTACTAGCGTGAGCACAACCACTTGTGGCAAGACTTTTCGAGCCTCCAGCAGCACCCAGCCTCTCACACTACAAAATGTGCCTCAGTTATCTCACAGCCGCGCGTCTCTACATTACGCTCCTTGTCACCTCGACGTGTAGTGCAGGTGAGTTACTTCCACGTAATAATAAACAGTTCAGGTGTAATAGTATTTAAGTTTCCTTCTAGTCAATAAATAACTGGCTCACTACAGTTACTACACAACAGTTAAAAACAATTATCCATTTCAATAAAATACCAGTTACTCCTTGTTGCTTAAAGTAACTAATGGCACACACCGCTCGCCTCCTGCCCTAAGGGTCTCTGGTTGACGCCCGGGACACCCTAGTCGACCAAGCTGGGAATGGGTAACCTAGTCTTGCAGTTGGGTACCGTAGGCTTCGTCTGCAGTATACTGTATCCTCACTGATCTTAACGGGGACCCACTTCCAGTTCATTAAATTAGAGTTAGTGGAAAACAATTAAACTATAAATATATACATGCAAGGATACTGATCTTTGTTATAAACTGACTCCTCTTGTAGAGTTAGTGTCACACAGTCAATATCTAAACCTTGCTCTAACATTACTGGTAGTTGTCATTACTGAGCCACCAAGTAATACATGTATGTCTATCGTCAGCCATTGTAGTTTCTCCTTAATATAATACATCGTTGGCAGGTGAGGGTACGTGTAAACTTACCAATATTTGTTGATTTACCGTTGACAGTGTTACGAACTAGTTGAATGGTGGTGGTGGTGGTGGTGGGTGGTGGTGGTGGAGGTGATGGTGGTGGAGGTGATGGTGGTGGTGGTTGTGGTGGAGGAGGTGGTGGTGGGGATGATGGTCATGTTAGTAGTGGAGGTGGTGGTGGTGGTAATGTTGGTAGTAGTGGTGGAGGAGGCGGTGATGGTGGTGGCGTCAGTAACAGGAGGCAGGAGTCACCCCATCAAGACATAGGGGCTCCAACAATGATAAATGTCTCACCATATAATTAACCCGCGACTACTGTGAGAGAGAGAGACAATAAGAGAGAATAAGAGAGATAAAGAAAATCAGAGAGATAGAATAAGAGAGAGAGAATCAGAGAGATAAAATGAGAGAGAGAGAGAAAGAAAGAGAAGTGAAAAAGAGATACGGGAATACGAAAGACAGTAAAATAAGACTAAGAAAGAGACAGACAGAGAATAAGAGAAAGATAGAGACAAAAGTAAGAGCTACAATCCAAATTCTTGTCATATTTGTCAATGATCACCTTTAAGATAAAACAAACTTACGACAGACAGATTTAGACTACATTTTACGTGGTGTCGCAACACTTATATATTATTGAGGCGAATAGCAGCCCTTACCTACTCATCTTAATTCCCTCACTGTTGTAACCTTCTCTCACACCCTCCCTCATACCCTCCCTCACACCCTCCCTCATACCCTCCCTCACACCCTCCCTCATACCCTCCCTCACACCCTCCCTCATACCCTCCCTCACACCCTCCCTCATACCCTCCCTCACACCCTCCCTCACACCCTCATACCCCCACACCTCCCTCATACCCTCCCTCACACCCCCCTCCCCACACCTCCCCCACACCTCCTCACACCCTCCCCTCATACCTCCCTCACACCTCCCCACACCCCCTCCTCACCCTCCCCACACCCTCCCCCACCTCACACCTCCCCACACCTCCTCACACCCTCACACCCTCCTCACACCCTCCTCATACCCTCCCTCATACCCTCCTCACATTCTTTCGTCCCAATCTCCTTACACCCTATTTTTTTTTTTCTCCCTTAAACCCTCCTTCCGTTCACCTCCTGCTACCCTTGTGATTCCCCATCCCCACCTCCTCCCTCGCCGTCGTTCAACAACTATTCCTCCCTCCCTCAGTTCCCCCTTCACCTTCTTTTAGCAACCCTCCCCCCCTGCCTCCACTTCCCTCACCAATCTTTCCCTTTTTTCCCCTTACCTCCACACCCCTCCTCCCCTTACCTCCACATCTCTCCTCCTGCTCCTCCTTCACCCTGCCTCCACACCGCTCCTCCTGCACCCTGTTACCCCTGCCTTCAATACCCCCAGAGCCGAGTGTTACCTCCTACAAGGGACAAAACATATGACTTGCAATATACGAGCATCACGAGGGTACCAGACGCTTCCATCTATACCTGCTTTTATCTTATCTTCTCCCCTGTGTTTCCCATTCGTCTCAAGTGGTGAGTCAGGATAGAGGATGATAAAGGATGTAATTATCCAAGATTAAACATGATAGATGAGTATGGCGCGGCAGGAGGCAGGAAGCTACCATACCAAGGGAGGAATGTTACAACCATCTCACAAAAGACGGCATCTCGTAAATTCTTTCCTAAGAGAAGTGACAGTGAAACCTACGTAAGTAAATAATTATAAACATGCATGTGTGTGTGTGTGTGTGTGTGTGTGTGTGTGTGTGTGTGTGTGTGTGTGTGTGTGTGTGTGTGTGTGTGTGTGTGTGTGTGTGTGTGTGTGTGTGTGTGTGTGTGTGTGTGTGTGTGTGTGTTCAGACAAACATATAGTCACTACTAAACTACACACACACACACACACACACACACACACACACACACACCTATAAAACAGCTTCTGTCCCTGGAGTCAGTAAGTCTAGATGCTACAAAAGATCTGTGCTTCTTAAGATAACAAGAGCACCACTGAAGGCAGAAGGCGGGCGAACGCTCGTCTGGCGTCAATCAGCACAAGACTAAAGTTTTCATTTCAAAGTTTATCATAACTTCCTAGTAACCTATGGGAGTTATGATGGTCTATGACTCTTGTGTACACGGAGTAAAATGATACACACATACATACATACATATTCAGACATACATACATACACATACACACACACACACCCACGCACAGAGGTCAAATGAGTCCTTGAAATACTAGCTCGTAACATATACGACTTACAAATGACAAGATAAGATGGTCCTAAGAATACCCCCAGATGACTCAGTCTTCCCCCTATTACCGCCAACTTCACACTGGCGACGGCAACTATGTGGTTGGCTTTATACGGAACGAGTGATGACGTCATTTGTCTTCAGCCAAATTGGAGTTGTCGAAAAAGTGGCCATTTTGACACTTATGATAATTTAACCAGATAAATAACTTGAGATAAAAGGATTTAATTCTAATATTTTATTCTTTGACTCAAAGTTTGCATAATAAAATAGTCCTTTTTATCGTTTTTAGCTGTTTAATGGACAACGTAATCTTGCATAGGGTGATGAGTGTGACCAAGACATCACCCTTAACACAGTAACAATTCTTATCTTATCTTGGGATATATCTACATGATTTATCTTAGGAGGCTTCTGTAGTTTACCGGGTTACTCATTATCGAACACCAACACTAGCTTGACTTTCCCACTTGTCAGAAAACATCTCACCCAACTCTACCTAAACCTTCTCGGGCCGTAAGCACCAGGAGAGAAACTTGGTCCGGTGAAATTTCGTCTTTTGTATTATTCAAGTGACGGAATTTTGCTCGGTGGGAAATATAGCTCGGTGGGAATTGTTTTAGGGTAGATTTTGTCCAGTGTCTTGAGTCCGACGGGAGTTTCGTCTGGTAATATCACCCATGAGTACTTTACTGTTATTAAGAACATAAGAACATAAGAAAATAAGGAGTCTACAATAGGCCGGTTGGCCTGTACATGGCAGCTCCTGTCGAGAGTTACTACCACTCTCTATCATCCATGAATCTATCTAGCCTCCTTTTGAAACTTTCCAGAGTTCCAGCACTTACTACAAAGTTGCTAAGCTTGTTCCACTCGTCCACCACCCTATTTGTGAACCAGTTTCTTCCTATCTCCCTCCTAAACCTAAACTAATCCAACTTAATCCGTTGCTCCGAGTCCTATCCTGCTCGGATATTATAAGAACTTTATCTATATCCCCTTTATTGATTATTACCGTGTTTGTGTTTATACTTTGATACAGCGATACAACTCATGCCTCAGTGTAACAAAAACTGTCAGTCAACCCCCCCCATGACAGCTGCTGTAGGAACATGGCAGGCCTTGTCACTGCTTTGTTTAAGAGTGGTTCACAGCCCCCCCCCTCCCTCCCCCACGGACACAGGCGGTTCACAGGCCAACTCATGACCCGTCACCATGGTAATGTTGCGCGTGTAATCATTATCGCCAAAAAAAAAGAAAAAAAATGGAACTAAAAAGCCCGGGAAGATCAAGTCAAGGTTCCCGCGCGACGTACAGTCTGTGAAGTCAGTGTGTTTGTTCCCGCGAGGATGTAAACAAAGGAAGCTGAATAAACGTTCATGTAAGGAAGAAAAGGAAGAAAAGCGCCCCTTCTGCTAAAACAATATACTTCCCAAGTGAACATTTTCCCCAGAACGAAAAACAAAAGCGAAATAACTCTCACAAATAATAATCCTAGGATAAAATAGCATTCAAATAATAATTGCGCATTTCTCTCTAACTTCTTGAAATTATCGAGAAAATGGGTCATTTGGGAGTGTTTTTTGAAGCATTTTGAATTTCGTGAAAATCTTGAAGAGACACAACATTCCCTGGAGATGTACAGGAGTGCTAGAGACAAGTTTCAAAGCATTCCGTCCAGTCGTCTCAGAGGGCGAAAATATAATGACAGTCGGACACAGGCATACGACACTAAGTCCTACATACTGTACACTCCTACTCTGTGAACCCGATGGCGGACAGTACGCGGTGAGGAGAGATTTATGCTGACTAATTATTGTTATTTAAGGTACAATATTATCATAGTACCCGGCAGTGAGCGCTACAACACTGTATTAAGTCGGGCGACAACCTTTACGACAAAGAAGCGTTACAACACTATTTCAGTGTGACAGTAGGATTACAACACTGTGTTACATCAGACGACAAAAAAACGCTACAACACTGTGTTACATTAGACGACAAAGAAACGCTACAACACTGTGTTACACTAGACGACAAAGAAACACTACAACACTGTGTTACACTAGACGACAAAGAAACGCTACAACACTGTGTTACACTAGACGACAAAGAAACGCTACAACACTGTGTTACACTAGACGACAAAGAAACACTACAACACTGTGTTACACTAGACGACAAAGAAA